GAGCTACTTCAGAATAATTCTAATATTTTGGGTAACACATGCTCTAATTATACTGTTGCATTATTATAAAATTAAATAGCTTCTTTTTTCTTTTCTTTTGTACTAAAACAAGACGGGTCACCTGAGATATCATCTATTAATACTAGCATTACAAGACCAGATTCCCAGTGGCGAGGGAAAAAAAAAATGGGAAAGAAAAGTCCTCACTAAAGCTGGACGACCATTAGCTATGTAATGCTCTGCTAACTTCTCCCATTAAGCAGCTTGTCTACTCCTACCCAAACAGGTTAAGAAACACCCCAAAAAAGAGATCCTTAAAACCAAAGCAAAGTGACAGCTGATAGTGAGGAGACTCTTAATTTCCAAAGCTGGACAACACCAGGCAAAAAGATGATCCAATGCCACGATAGCAACTTGTTTACAGATCAAGACTACTTGTTGCCGTTAATGTTTTATACCTAAACACATTAAAATATCTCAGAGACCAAAGAAACATTCAGGTGCAGCTGAAACTTTATGAGGAAAATGTAGTGATGGTCATAGAGGCATTTACAGAGGTGTAGCACAATCATAACAGAAAGGCTGGAGAAGGACCTCCTGTTTTACATTAGTCTACCAGAACTCCTGAGCCACTCATTTCAGTCATAGAGTGATACAAGCGTACATTACGGGTCCTACCCAAATTCACTTCTTTCAGAATGCGCAATGCTTCACTGATCCGCAAATACAGGTGTAGCTACCCAGATAACCGTTAATTAACAGATTTCAAACTACATTGTGGATACACTGATCTCTCAGAATGCCAGCACATCTGGGAGGCACAGAGAAATCTGTTGCTGAAATATTTCTGACCAAAAAGTCGAAACTTTTTTTTTCTCCCCCATTGAATACAGAAAAACCCTCCGAATGCAAGAAGTTGACATCTCCCCTGCGCTGAAGGAAGAACGTGCATGCCATGTATCACAGAGATGTAACTTTTTATACGAAAATGTTGCTAGCGCCAGACAGAGATAAGCACTTCATGATTTTACTGCTGTAATTTAGAAACTCGGCGGAAACCATAAACCCAGCTAAACCGGCAGCGCGCGTATTTGTGCCTCCCGACCCGATTTCCAGCACCGGGCTGCCGAGATCGTCACTCCCGCAGGTTCGCGGGGCCGGCCGGCAGGAGGGCGCGGGCACCGCCGCCTCTGCCCCGACGCACACCGGACCCCCGGAGCTGCCGCCGGCAGCAGGGGGGACCGGGACGGAGCCGGGCGCGAGGCACTCACCGCGGGGGCCGTTAGCCGGCGGATGCTCTCGCCCAGCGAGTCCAGGTTGACCCGCCGCCGGCGAAGAGCGCGGCGAGCCCCGGCGCTGGCCGCGGCGGCGGCGGCGGCGGTGGCGGCGGAGGCGAAGGGAGCGTCGGGGTGGCCGGGGGGGCTGCGGCTGCCGTTCCAGCAGAGGCGGGACAGGGGACACTCGCCCTCCTCCTCAGGGCTGGTCTCCGGGCAGTCCGAGCCCAGCGAGCTGAAGGACTCCGAGGAGATCTTGCGCCGGGACATGGTGCCGCGGGGCGGCGGCGGCGGCGGCGGCTCTGCTCAGCGCGGGGCGGCGGGCAGCCGCGGGGGGCAGCTCCGAGCCCTGCGGCCGCAGGGACGGCCGCCTCGCATGGCCGCGGGTGCCCCTGGGCGGGAGGCACAGCCCGCGCCGGGCCCTGGGAGCAGCGGGTGCTGCGCGGCGCCGCGCCGGGAGGATTTAAAGCGGCGGCGGCGGCTGCTGCCCTCCTCTGCCTCGGCCGCCCGCCCTCGCTTCCCCTCCCCCGGCTCCCTCGCTGCTCCGCGGGAATCACGTGTTGTTCGGAGCCCTTTCCCCCTCCTCCTCCTCCCTCCGCCTGCCCCCGCCCCGCTCGCCGCCTGCCACTCTCAGTCCCGCTCCCCGCGGCCCGCAGCCGCCTCCGGGCCCCGCTCCCCGGCGCCGGGGGGTGGGGGAAGCGGCCCCCGGCAGCACCGCCCGGGAGGGCAGACGGCCGAAGCCGGCTGCGGGGAGGGAGGACAGGGCGCTGCGCTCCCCTCTCTGAGCTTTGGAGCCGAGGGAAGGGGAGCGGGGAAGAAGACAGATATCCCCTCCGGCTCCGCGGGGAGCGGTACTGCCCGCGCAGTGCTGGGGCACCCGGGAGTCCTCGAGGTACGGCCGCCCCGGTTCCGGCTGCGCGCTGCTGCCGCCCGTCCCGCGGGGTGCTGGACAGCTCCCTGCCCCTGACGCCGGGAGAAGCCGGTGCTCGTTTCCCGGGCAGTTGTTGCCGCCAGCGAACTTTCCCGGCTGGCGTTTCGAAGCTTAAGTTTAGGAAAAAAACTGGTTTTAAAAGCTGGGAAGTCATGATGCTGCCATCGGTCTTCAGAGGCAAAAGTTCTTATCTTTGTGAGAGCACTGCTCCCACGAAGTCATGTCCAAGAAAGAAACATGGACATGCGGGTCATGTCCAAAAAGGAAAAGAGAAAACTGATTTCCTTCCGCTGTAGCAGCTTTGTGCTACAGCCGTGCAGAAAGAGAAGGGAGGGGGGTAGAGGACACACAGCAGAAGAGCTTGGGTACAGGATGGCACCCTCGAAAACAATGCAAGGTGTCTCCTTCCCAACTTTCCCTACCAATGGAGGTAATTTAAAGACACCTGGGGAGTTTCATGGCAATAATGGAAACCCCACATCGTCCTTTCTCAGGAGAAAGGCTACCAGGAAATGGGATTATAGCTGTAGTGATTTGTCCTACCTTCAGGGAAGACAGCTTGCCATTACCTTTGTTCAAACGAAACTTATTTTAAAGGGCAAAGATTTTAAGATGACTTACCTATCCCCTGTATTATGACATGTTTTACAACCTTATCCTGTTAAATGTCTGAACAAGAACCCACTGGAGAGACTGGGAAGATTTGCACAGGTAGGAAGAAGCTTTTGAGTGCAGCCCTAGGCAGCCCAAACCACGTGTCTCCTTTCAAGAAGGGGCACAGGTCTGTGGCTAAGCATGCTGGTTTTAACAAGGGCACAACATCCCTTTGCCAGGGTATTGCTTTCAATGTTGCCATCCTTGTTTCTCTTGACTCACCCAGTTTCTATTTATTTTCTTTTTTCTTTTTTTTTTCTTATATAAATATATATGGAATAAGATAAGCAGTGAATCTCCTTTCATCTTGCCATACTTTCTAGGGCTTGAAGCCTTTGGCTTGAAAAAATGAATAACAAAGCCAGAGTGGTCCATACTACTTTCTGTTGCTTTATTAAATATTATGACTGGATACAGAGATTTTCTTTCTGCAGTCCTGGTGATGCCCTCAGCAGCCCCAGGACAGGAACCAGACATGACTTCACCTGAAAGTTAATTCACACATGAGCTTCCAGATCCAATGCCTTCCTCTGTCTTTCCTCTTTTAGGGAATAGTACTCGTCAGTGCCTGAGTGCAGAGAGATGAGACAGTTACTCTGCCTTTTCCTTCTTCCCTCTGAAGAAATCATTTTAACAGTTTCTTTGAGACCTGTGCCATAAGCCCCTGCCTGCCCTTCAGCCAAGCTCCTGCTATTGAGGAGATTCAGGAATTAAGGGGTCTGGAAGGTGTCCTTTGGTGTTGAACACTTTCCCTAGCACAGGTACTATGTGTTAAGATGTTATCTCTCTTTACATGCTTCAGTTTCCATTAAACTCCCTTCTCATTGATCATATCATACAGTCCTCAGTGAAGCAAACTTCAACTGGTTTCCTCGCTGATGCAGTGACAGTGACAACTGGGTAAGAGCTACATAGCTTAGCATTGAAAATGCAAATACATATTTATAAGTCTAAACTGCTAAACTACCAAAGTGTCAACTGGTTCCATGTGCAGTACTTCAGCTGTAGGGTAAGCAACTCGCCTGTGGGCATATTTGCATTTTATTCAGCACTAGGGAAAAATGGTTTCGAGATGACAAAACTGACACTTTTTAAGTCTTCAGTTTCCTCTTTATCTTAAAGTAGCATTTTCCAATGCAAGTTATCATTAACGTTTGACAGAACTCTTGAGTTACCCTTGCAGCATTAAAAATTCATGCCCCCATGGCCATATTCATTTTATGCCTGTAATGTATACACCTGAAATAGGAAGGGAAGTTCTTTGCCTCAGTGACTGTCTCTCGGGTCAGGATCATTATAACTGAATGCACTCATATAGCAAACTTACTCTTTTCAAGAATGTAAAAGATATTTTTCTTCAGCATGTAGATGCTGAAGTTCACCATGCAGAGTAAAAAGCGCAATTAGAGGTTCAAGTCTTCTATTGCCTCAGCTGAAGAAGCATTTTGAGTAAACCCAGGCACAGTGTCACTATTCACTGGCTATTCTGCTCAGCTACGATCTTTAAAACTTGTGGAAGCCAACCTGATACCTGCCTGATCTGGTTACAAAGATGTCAGTAGTCTGCATACTGCAACTCTGTTTGGGATTCATGATATAGAATACACAGAGTTGGATAAAGGCCTTAGCTGTAAAAGTACCAAACACCTTCACAAGATGTCTTGAGCTAAATAGGAATGGACAACAGAAGATCCAAGATGATGAAGGTCTGGAGGCCAGTCTTGTGAGCCAACAAGTCATTCAGACCCTCGTTAATTTTCTAATTTTGTTCCCCCTGATCTAGATGCAGCCTTGGCTAAAGCTAAATACCATAGAGGGCTGGCTGCTTCATCTGACAGTCAAATGCCTTTGACAGTACATAGACATAGGCAGTTACAGCACATAAGAGAACAAATGTCCTTCTTTCATATATGTCTCATCAGCCCAATTTTTTAGTTGGCACATTACTGGATGAATAGAAGTGTCTGCAAAATGTATAAAGTTCACCAAAACAGTGCCTATGTAACCTTTCAATCGTTACAACAGAATGCAATGTGTGCATGTATATGCATACTTTGAATTTTTTTACGATCTCGCATAATTGCTCTTCTAAGAAAATTATTTTGAAACATGCAGGGGAAGTTTAGATTGGATATAACGAGGAAGTTCTTTACTGTAAGGGTGGTGAGGCACTGGGATGGGTTGCCCAGGGAAGTTGTGAATGCTCCATCCCTGGCGGTGTTCAAGGCTGGGTTGGACAGATCCTTGGGTGGCATGGTTTAGTGTGAGGTGTCCCTGCCCATGGCAGGGGGGTTGGAACTAGATGGTCTTAAGATCCTTTCCAACCCTAACTATTCTAATATTCTATGATTTTATACATTTTTATCTGTTTCCAAAACTTTGTCTTGGCGCTAGTAAGCAAAACTCACAATACTGAGTTCAGACAGAAAATGCATGGTCTTTACTTGCCATTATTATATTATTATGTTATTTTATTTACAAATGCTGTTGTTCTGCAGTTCATAGAGCCTTGGAAGATTAAAATAACAAAAACAACTTCATCATAGTGCACTGCATTGCCCTGTCTGCACATGTTGAGAAAGTGTTTGTCGCAGAGCTGCCCGAAGAAACTATTTGAATTAAACCCTCTTAGGAATTAGTTGCATATATCTCATACATCACAATATATTTGATATTATTTCACCTATTACATGGCATGGCTTTTTTATAATTATCTTTTTATAGTACTGCTGAACCTATAAGTACTTAATTTTCCTTTAATAGAAAAGATTGTTGTCCCGGGATCAATGTCTCCCACAGAGAAAGTAAACATCTGTTTTGCAAAGCATTTCTAAAGCAGCAGGAGACCATTATCCTGTGACAACATTCTATTACGATTACTTTATTGCAGTCAGGCAAAAAGAGTGATGTGTAGTAAATTTATTCTCTTTTCTCATTCTGCCAAACATTCTTGTTCTTTATCCAGTGACTTCCATCTGGAGTATTGTCTGGAAGGATGGCTGGGGCATTCTGCCATTTGTCATTAATGTTTTGTTGAATTATGATTGGCTTAAGGAGCAGATCAATTTTGTGTTTTATCTGCTCAGACATAAAGTTTATGTGCAAGAGGCAGCAGATTCACACTGCCCAACGTTGATGTTCCAGTAATCAGGTGATGTTTGAGTCCATCGCTTTGCACGATGTATTACTGGAGGAGTAATTAATCTGTTTTGCACTGCAAGATATTATCTAATGAAGGCAGCAGAATCTGGGTCTTAATGCTCAAAAAACCTCTTTAATTTGTGACCTCAGCACACTTTTTAAAGTTTGGTTCTTGTGGATGAGAAAAGCAAAGCAGTGGTGACTGATACCATGATTCTCACATTACATATAGCAGATCAATAGCAGCATCAAGAATTCCTTGTTGCCTAATACAGGTTCAAGACAGCTTTATTCAGAATCAATTGGCTTAAAACATGAATGGCCAGCATCAGATCCATTCATAATTCTAGGGATTTCACTGTATCAACTTCTCAAAGAACAATTGAAATGAGATGTCAAGGCTGTGGAAGGAGATATGTTGTATTGACATCATCACTATTTCACAAACAAACAAACAAAAAAAGGTGGAGGAAGCTTTGCTGAGGGAGTGAAAAAGAATAAACAAAAAATGCCCAAATACCAGTGCTTTGACTCAGATGATTAGGCCAGTTTGAGACTGCAAATCTCAAGAGAACTTCTGACTGCACACAGCTTCAATTGTCTAGAAGGAATGCACAGCTGGCTAAACACTCAGACTTAAAAATTAAACTGTAAAAGGAAATAATATAGCACCACACTCAAAACTTCTTGTTTCCATTGCCCTTGCACAGAGAGGCAGATTTACTGAATTCAGCACTGGGTGAGGTAAATTGAACCTTTTCTTGATGAGCATTTGTTCTGTGTCCTGAGTATTTTACACTGAGGGCAGCAGGTGATGGAGGCCCCAGGTAACAGAGGTACCATGAGGCCTGCCTTAGCTACTTAGAAACCTCACCCAATTCATTTAAAACCAAAACAAAAAGACGTCGATGGGCCTCCTATATGGTCTAGATCTACCACACCACAGCACTCTTTGCAACTCAGTCACTGTTTATAGAAGAACAGCTGTCTACAGAAGCTACTTTGTTTTCACTCTAGCAACCATATATATCCCAGATAGACGTCCTGTCTATGAGCAGTTTCTGCAAGGATATTGATGTCACCAGTAAGGTTAATCCAAAGAAAATACACTGGTAGCTACATACAGGATTCAAGTAAATTTCCTTTCAAGCATTCTCTGTTTTCTCTAGACTTCTGTAGGAGCTCCCTGCACTCTTTATACATCACGAGAATCCAAGATGGCAAGGACTTTAAGAGCACCTTATGTCCTGCACAGGAGGCTGAATTAAACCAGGACCCTTATAGTTCTGAAATGGCTTCTAGGACTGCCTCCTTCCCCAAGGGAAAGCAGATCTGATGCCCATGAGGCAGGGTGCTCCTCATGTCCCTGTGTTCTGGCTTGCTTGTAGAAATTCTATTTGGTGGTCTTTCACATAACATATAGTGGTTTCTAGGCCACCCTGTGGTGTTCACTGGGCTAGGAATGGGCCAGGAAATCACAGAGCAGCACCTAAAATGAAGTCAAGGAGTTAGCAGATATGTCCAGGGAAAAATAGGCTAGTCATGAATTACTGACTAGGTTTTACCAGGTTTGCACCTGACCTTATGGAAGAGTAGTTTGCAAGGCAAGCAGTGCGGCACAGCATCTGGGAGATGACCAGCCTGCAGCAGAAGTTGTATGAGGAGGGTTTTTTCAACCAGCTCATTCAGGACCTATCTGGGAGTGTGGTAGCAGGTTCTACCAAAGGAGGCCAAACCAGTGTGTATAGTACATAGTGCTGTACTGCATTTTCTTCAGTGTCATCTGAGCAAGCTGGTCTTTTCCACAAATACACTTTTACGACAGTTCATCTCTTCACAAATTGACACCTTCTACCCAATGTTTTCCAATTTAAAAACTTCAAAATTTAAATCATTGTCATTAATGTACTTTTGCCAACTGGCCTAAGATTAACACACACTGACATCTTCTCTGATTACCCTTTTCTTCTTTTTTTATCCTTAATGACAGGAAATCCCACAGTAGTTTACCCAGACTTGTTTAAAAGTGAGACCTCATATCATATAATGAATGGGAACACTTATTTTTTAGAAGCTTCTTTGCATCCTATAATGGATGAACTGATTAATAAATTGTCTACAATGACTTGCTCCCATGAAGCGCTAAAAGGAATAAAGAGGTTTTACTTATATACAGTTTCAGAAACAAGAGAGAGAGAGAACACGCTCATGCTTGTGGATGAAGATAATAAGAAACCATTAAGGTAGTACTTGAGCAGATAAAAAATATCTACACTATCTACCTACAGGATATTATTCACAGAACACAGAGTCAGCCAAAATGTCCAAATGAAAGATTCTATTGAGCTTCTAGATAAAATCAATTCTAATAAAATCTACTCTATTTCACCCAAAGACGGCAAATGATCTTGTTGCAAAAACAATATTTCTTCAAGCAGGAGAATGTATTGTACATAGCTCCTACAATGCTGGTACAACTGTCCTGGCCTCTTTCACTAGTTATACCTTCAAGTGAACTTCAGTCTGTCTCTGTTTAGTAGTCCATAGCAGTTTTAATTATGTAGTAGTGTTCAGGAACCTCCCCAGATGTTCAGCTACCTAACTCAGTGATGTTGTGGCTACTTGTGTAAAAAGAATTCTAATATTCTAGAGAAATTTTTACAAGAGTTGCAAAAAATGGTGCCTTTAATTTTTAGCATCAGTTCAGAATCCACTTTTCTGTTTCTTCCATTCTTCTATTGCGTCTTTAGTCCTTGAAAACTTCACTGCTCTTTTTATCTCATTCTTCACTTTCATTTGGCTCCTTATTACAAGGCTACAGGCAAATAACAAAGGTAATTTTTTTCTGTCATTTAGTTCTTGTCATTTTGTTTTGGTGAAGGAATACGCATTTCAAATATGAGCACTTGTGCTACTCAGAGCACTGTCAGTCTTGCTAATGTTACTTAACTTATTTCCAAGGTTTCTTGTGTTCTTTGCAAAACAGATCATTGGTTCCCAGAGGAAGATATCTATGCAGAGAGTAGTGTGAATGCTAATGGGAAAGCTTGCACTGGAAGTGTTTAAAGAAGTATATTTTATAATGGTAACGCAACTAGAAACAAACAAATATAAATACATGTATGTAATTTCAGCTTCAGAATTTGAGTTGGACCCTGTGTACAAAGTTCTATTGAGGGAGAGTAGGAGGAGACAAATATACAAAAAAATGAAAATATAAGGAGAAAAAGCACAATCCTTTTCTTTTTGAAAAACTCCTAATTGATTCTCAAGTGCACTTTCATGTCCAGCAAAGGCAGGTTACTGTGAGGGAAGCACGTATCTGGAGGGGGCTGCAGTGTGTTTGCAGTATTACAAAATATTTCACTTTTGTAGCATGTTTCATTCCAAACTTCTCAAGGCTATTTGCAGGCAATTACAGAACGAATGTCTGTAAGTGAATTAAGCTTGAACAAACAACCGCATTTTCATGGTGGACTTAAAAGCACTATGGGCCAAATCCAGCAAGTTTTGTCCCTACTGATACTGGCTGAGGTGCTTGTCACCTTACAGGAATTCCTCAGGACTTCTCTGATTCAGGCCTTGGGTGAATCAGTCTCAACATTCTTTACAAGAAAATCCGCAGGAAAGGTACATACGGCTGTAGTAGGAATTCAACTGCTGTAGCAATGCAAAAATAAATTCTAGATACCAACAACATTTGCTGTTAAAGGAATAATGTTTTGAAAACTGGTCTCTAGATAAATAAAACAGACATGCAAAGTATTTTTACAGAAAAGTACCATTAAGAGCCTGAAACAATGGAACTAAGCCTTAAGAGAATGGTATTTAACACAAGCTGGTAGGTAAACCATACTTTGGTAATATTCCCCTTGAAAGACAAGGTAGATCAAAGCTGTCACTGCAGTGGTGCAGCCTGGTTTGCAAAGGAAGTGAACATTGCAGTTCAGGTCACTAATAAAGTATTTTATAAAGTGAGGTTTTCACTTCATTCTTCATTTAGCAAAAGCTAAACCACAGAAGTGAAAAATACATTCTGTAAAGCAATGATAATTTGATTTCAAAGAGGTGAAAGTGTTCATATAGCTGGTTTGAACTACTTTTAGTACTAATCTGTGCACAGTGCAAAGTTCCTGTAAAATATCATGCCCTGCTTTTACCATGAATTGAAATGTGTGCCTGCTGTACCATCT